GTGTGGGCGTGGCCAGCAATTGGAGTGGGCATGTAAGAGGGGTGTGGGTATGGGTAGGGGTACACCCCAACAGGGGTACCCTTAACGAAATTGCAAAATGGTTTAATTAAGCGAAAGCAAAGCGAAGCCAAAAGTCTCGAATGGCCCAGCGGACAGTAAGAGTGTCATTATAATTGTTGACAGGCACAACGAACGAAAGTGCAAATCATCGCCAGGACCTGGCCAAAGGACCAGCAGTACCACGTACCCCCTGCCCCTCTCTCAGCCCTAGCGCTAGCACCCCCTTTTGGGGCGCCCGCAAATCGAGCAACGGGCAACGCCCCAAAATGAAGTTGGAAAATTGCTAGTCCCGGGCCCAGAGACAGAGAAGAAGTGGGGCAAAAAGAGAGAGAGAGAGAGAGAGAAAGGGAGAGAGAGAGAGAGAGAGAGAGAGAGAAGAAGACAGAGTGGAGAAAGAGAAGGAGATGGAGAATGACGACGACGACGACGATTTCGTGCAGTGCGTGCATTGAATTAATGAAATCGTAAATAAAGTCGTGCTCAAAGCCACAGTGAAACGGGAAGCCCACAGTAAACACTCATGGGCAGCGAACAGAGAAATGCCAGAAGTGAGTCAGGGGAATATCAGACCAATGAGAGATGAGAAAGAAGCTCCAAAGGAAGCTGAAAAATCAAGAAATAAATTTCTAACTTTCGTTTACCATAGCCAGGGGTCACTGTAACTGTAACTGCTGCACATACACATGTACACATACACAGAAATATGGAGCTTTGTATCAAGTTGATGTGTGCCATCGCTGAGGCAGAGGCAGAGGCAGTGGCAGAGTTAGAGTCAGAGGCAATCAGGGCCACTCAAAAAAGGCAACAATGCCGAGAGGTAACCACCCACAATATCTGTAGAAGGGGGCAGGCAGCAGTGTGGCCGACCACCCTGCCCAAGCGACAGAAAGAGAGGGAAACACAGAGAGAGAGAGCGAGAGCAGAAGATGGCTAGCACAAAGCTGATTCGCCCGCACAAATCTCTGCAGTGAGCTGCGAGATACTTTGTCGACGGAGAAGGACCTTCAGGACTGATGAGCAAGCAGGTGAAGGGGTAAGAGTATTTGGTGGTTACACCACTGCAATCAGTCAGTCAGTCAGTCAGAGGCAGTTAGAGAGAGACAGCAGAGAGAGAGAGGGCGGGAGGGTCGGAGGGAGCCTTATCAAGTTGGTCAGCTGATGGGCAGCAGCGACCGCAACCTCTAGGCCATGACAAGGCAGGAAGTTAGTTGGCCTTGCCTTCGACTTTGTTGGCACACCCCCATGCCATACTCCTTCATCTCCTGCACCAGCACCAGCACCAGCTCCATCCCCATCTCCGTCCGGCCACCCCTCCTAGACCCAGAGAGAGGTCCCAGTCCCAACTTGCCGCTTAATGTGTTGCATTTGTCCTGCAGCCATGTCGTGAGATATGCGCAGCAGACAATGTCTGCCCCGAAGCCCCTACAGAGAGCACCACCAGAGTCCGTCCAAGTTCCAGTTCCAGTTTTGGGCATCATCCAATGCACTCAAAGAAACTAACAGGAAAGGGCCGAACCTTGGGGATCTATCGATCTTTAAGGCCTTAATTACACAGGAGATTGTGGCTTAGGATGATCTTAAAACGGAAATAAAGGAACAACATCTTGGAAAGCGCAATATATAGGGAATAGATTCGGCAGAAAGGAAGAGTCTTCTCAAACTTCCCCTTGGTACTCCTGATATTTAAGCAAAGGCTCCATTTATGATCTGTAGCAGCGGTTGGCACGCACACATTCACATGTTTTTTGCAGTTCCTATACAGCAGGCAAATCGGAACACTGTAAGTGAGCGGCAGCGCCTTTTCCCATAGCCAATAGATAGGACCGTGCCGACCCCTGTCTTCCGCTTCGTTACGGCAGTTTTCGCTCTTAAGTTATCTGCCACTTATCTTTTGTTTTTCCTAGATTTTCTCGCAGTGCATCAGGTTTCCACGAGAGTCCCGCGGCCCAGTGGCTTGTACCGAGCACACTTCCCTCCGTCCGCCAACCGCCATCCGGCGGCTGCTGGCTGGCTCTTTTGGGCTTTTCAGCTTTTCTGTTGTCGGGCGGTTACAGGGGCTGGGCATTTTTCGGCTGCTTGGGCGTTCTGTTTGCATAAGGCGTTGCGCGGGGGGTGGAGCTGGGCAGGAGCGGGGCGGGCCAGGCCAGGCCAGGCCAGGCCGGGGCAGTGTGGTGTGTGGATGCAGTGCGGCAGCTGCCAATCCGGGGTGTGGTTCAATTAGTTTACTTCCCAGCTGAAGCAGAAGCCCAGATGCAACAGTTCATTCCATCCATCAGCTGTGGGCGGTGGCCCAAAAGTGGCCTGCTTTGATCCGGAAACTTCAGCCCTAGGGGCAGGGCCCTAGTTCATAATTGAGTTGAGGGGATGCGCTCACAAAAGGATCATTCGGATGTTTCACAAGTAGAGCTTCCCGCAAGGGATTAAGTCGTTCCCTCTAAACAAAAGCTAATTTGTCCCCCCTTGAACTTGACCATGCGGCTCGAAGTCTACTTTTAGGGGCCAAGCCAGGCGAAAATTCAGCTCCAGCGGCGCCACCAAGTGGCCCCTCATCATCGTATGCCTGAAGTGCGCCAGAATGGGCTAATGCCGTTCCCATGGGTGGAAATATCCACCCAAACGAATGTCAAAGAACCCGATACCAGAGTGCGATAAGAAATGGAAAAAGGAAAAACTGGAAATGTGGAAAACAATTTGTCATTTTGGCGAGCGCGTAGATTTTTCACAATCAGCCAGTCCAATTCCGAGAAACAACATTGGAGAACATTTAATTTAACATAAAAATGAGAAAATGGTATAAAAAAAAAGGAAAAAAAAGAAAAGAAAAAAAAAGGAACAATACCGAAGGAAAAACTGCGCTGCCTTTTGGGCTCTGTTTTGTTTTCCCTTTGACGTCAAGGGGCGCTCACTCACGCGAGGTGAGAGTGAGAGAGAACAAGCCAAAGAGAGAGAGAGAGAGAGAGAGAGTGAGAGCAGGGGCAGCAGCGCAGTCCTGTAGAGATGCAGAGCGGGATGACAATAGACAGGCATGCGCGTGCCAGGCAGCTGGCCATCCCGCTCGCACAGCGGCCATCGCTCTAATTATAGGTTAGGGCACTCTCGGCCAAAGACAATGCTGCGATTGGCCAAACGGCGCTGGGTGTCGGCCGGCGGGGGGGCTGGCCGAAACTCGTTTGTCGGGCCGCCAGTCGGTTTTTATGAATGAAACCCGAGCCCCGCAGCTGCCGCAAGGGCCCACGCTCGCTCGCACTCGCTCTCTCGCGCGCTCTCTCCACGCTCTGAGCCTCCATCCATCATAGCCGACGCCGATGATGATCTCTCGGCGGTGGTGGTGGCGGTGGTGGTGGCGGTGGTGGTGGTTCGGCTCCCTATGGTCGTCCCGCTTGCTCTGCCTTTGAGCAGAGGGGCGAGCGATGGGTGGCTGGCGGCTGGCGCTGCTGCTGTTGGCGCAGCCAGCGCTTTGGCGGAATTGAATTGAAATCGGAATTGGAATCTCTTTCGCTCTCTCTGGCCGCCACGGCCTTGGCTAGCGCGCTCCCGCTCGCTCTCTTGTGTGGGACGCGCCCCTTGGCAGAGCGCTGGCTGCAGCATTCTGCTTGGAGTGTGGCGACGTCGACATTTGGCCAAGCTTTTTGTTCGCGTGAAACAGTTGCAAGCCTTTGAACGATCAGCGACGACGGCGTTAACTTTGGCGCGGATACAGCAGATTTTTTTTTCGTTTGTTTAAGCAGGCGCCTGGCGGCTGCCTCCTGACACGTTGACGCCTCTGTCACCCACCGCAAGCAGCAGCAGCAGCAAGAAGCGGCAGCAACAGCAACAGCAGCAGCAGCTCAAACAGAAAAACAAACAAACAAACAAACAAACAACAAAAACAAACAAACAAAAAGATACAAACAACAAGAAAAAGTAACCAACAAACAACAAACAACAACAACCACAACAGAAGTGCGAGTGCATTCCAATCATCCCACCATATCCGTATAAATTTTCTCTTTCGTTTTTGTTATTGTTTTTAATTAAACATAAATTTTATAAAGTTTTTTTTTTGTTGTGCCCAAATTAAAACCGAAACTAAAAGGAAAAAAGAAAACAGCAGGAGAGCAGACTCAATTCTCGTTCACTCTCTCTCTCTCTCTCTCTGTCTCTCTCCACCACTCTCTGTCTGGCCTCATCTCCATCTCTCAGTCGTACCCTCTCGCTCTCCGTGCCGCTAGATATATTCAAATTGGCAGAACGGAGATCCAGTAGGCGGCTGTCAGTGCCAGTGACAAAGCCGCAGCCGTAGCCGAAGCCCGGAACCACAATCACAATCAGAATCAGAGCCAGAGAGCGACAGTAGCGACAGTAGCGATAGCAGCGACAGGCCGACGGCCAAGTGAACAAAAATACAAAACAAAAAACAAAACAAAAAACAATAAACCATAAACCATACATGAAATTAACATATAAAAAAGATACATACTTGAATGCATCATAGATACAGCAAACAGCATACAGCATACAGAATTAGAGCAACAGTAAAAGAGTGAAAAGTGCCAGGGAAAAGCCTAAGAAAAGTATCCGTCGGCAATTACCATCCGTTGCAGCGGAGATACTTTTCAGCCTTTTTGTTGCATATTTTGTTGATTTTTCTTTTGTAAGCGACGTGCGTGCGTGTGTCCTGTGTGTGTCCTTCCACTCCATGTCCCTCTGTCTCTCCCTCCGCCCAGTGTGTGTCCAGCGATAACAATAGCAACAACAGCAACAACAGCAACAACAACAGCAACGATACAGTTTTCCCATTGTGTGGAAAAGCCAAGAAAAAAAATCAAAGAGACAACCAGACAAAAAAAAAGCAAAGAAAAGACACCATCATTGTGCGCCTTAAACTGACAGCCAGAGAAGCAGCAGCAGGAGTAGGAGCAGCAGCAGCAGCAGCAGCAGCAGCAGCAGCAGCAGCAGCAGCAGCCGCAGGAGAAGATACACCAGCAGCCGCAGCAGCAGCAGCAGGAGTAGATACAGATACAGCAGCAGCAACCGCAAAGATGCTCACGGACATGACGCCGACGGCCGGTCAGTTGTATGGCTCTCAGATACCGGCCATGGGCATGAACATCAGCAACATTGCCACACACTTGCAGAAGCCACAAGTTAATCCGGTAAGCCGCACACACAAAAAGATACATACAACTCCCATACAGTACGAACTCCCTTCAGATACGGCTGTATCTGCTTTGTAGCTTTGAATAGGGACAAGACAACAATTACCTCAGCTCAGAGTTTGTTGTTTGTTGTGGGGGAAAAGTAGCTAAAGTAATCGCTTTCGCTAGATCTCACAGATAGATGGATACATTTTCAGACGATTTATTTCAAGAGATACATCTATAAAGAGGTTAAATACAATAGATACAGCTGATAGATAGATAAGCAGAAATAACTTAGCGTATATCTCGCTTGCATACTAGTTGTAGTTGTAGTTCCCATGGATACAAATTAGTTTGCAGCACAAGTACACAGCCACTTGAAATTCCCCTTGGTGGGTTAAGGGACAAGGAGGCCTCGCATTGCATTGCACACTTGAGCTGGCATTTGTCAGGAATTTGTGTCTGCCAGTAGCTCCGAGATATATTTTAACTAGAGCAATCCGTTGCTTCGTACATGAGCAGCTGGCAGCTGACAGCATACATAATTTGCAACTGCATCTGAAAGATACATTTGCAAAAAGATACATATTTTAACCCCTAAATCGATTAGATACTTATGTTCTGCGGCGACAGAAATCTGACAAATCTGGCAAATCAACCACTTACATGGCATTATCACGACAATAACCTCACGGGTTAAGCAAACAATAGCAACAGAAATCGAAATCTAGACGCCGCCCCGCAGCGGATGCATGGATACACGGATACACAGCAGATTCACGGGATTCGCCAACAGCCAGTAGCCAACTGCCAGCACAGTAGTTGTAGTTCGACCCTTCGGAATGTGAATGTGAATCAAAATCAAAATCCGCTTCGGAATCGTTAACCGAGGCTCAGCTGGAATCCTTTTGTCTGTCGTCGTCGTCGTCGATGATTGAGCTGAAAGTACGAGTATCTAATGCTGGGCGGCAAACGGTAGAGAATGCTCACAAATCGATTAGATGCGGCTTGTTCAGTGCTCTGTGTGCAAACGAATTTCACGCTAAGGCTTAGCAGATACGCAGGCCACAGCCAGAGATACGGAGATACAGAGATACAGATAGCTGTACTAGAGGTTGGCCCTTCAGCCAGGTAAGCGCCGCCTCTCTCTCTCTGTCTCTCTCCATTTCGGTCTGAAATCAATTATTCAGGCTCACTTGAGGTGTGAAGCTAACGATTGAATGATGCCTTTCCTTGCCTTTCCCTGGGATTATTTTTCGCAATCGCAATCGCAATCTCTGGATCGTATTACGAATCCCTAGCTCCGACTTTGACTCTGGAACTGACTTTTCAACACATATTGTAGTCTTCCCATTGTGGCGGCTCTGGCTAATTGTTTCGATGGCCCATCGATGGCTCTTATCGAGCGGAAGCCCACACTTAAGGCCTAACTGAGATCATAATGAACTGGCCTCGATCTGAATTTCGCTCTTTGATCCGCGCCGAAACTGAAACTGTGGCATTTTTTGCCAAGAGATTTCCAGCAGAAAAATTTCCTGGTGCCAGCCGCTTAATATTAATGATGATTGTGAGGGCTCTGGGCCAGTCAGCCTGCCTGCCTGCCTGCTCTCGATTTCGGTTCAATTTTCAATTAGCGGCCCGAAGAGTTATGCTAATTTTTTCTCCAATTTCTAGCACTGAAATGCCCGATCGCCGCCATCTGTGTCCTTGATGATGATGATTGCATGACACTTTTAATAGAGTTAGCAAACGCCAAAGAGATTGAGGCTAAGGTAATCTACAGCTCGTACTCGTACATGTACTCCCTGCCACGCCTTGAGCGGCAAACTGCAGACGCCACCACGCATTTGCGTGTGCCCATAAAATATGGTAGAACCGCAGAACCACAGAACCGCAAAACATACTACTCAGAGTTGGGTCTAAACGGGTCCGAACTGGCCAACAGACAGGCCAGAGCAGCCCCTGTGCTCTGGCTCTGGCTCTGTCTCTGGCTTCACATCTGCATATTGATGGAGCTGACCGCGTGAGAGAGAGAGAGGGAGAGGAAAAACGTTTATTAAAATTAATACCACATCAATCATTTAACAAACGCGCCTGTCGGCCAAGTTCAAAGACTGCCACGGAGTTCGAGACTAGACTACGTCTATGAGGGATCTATGTGGCTGTAGCTGTGGCTAAGGCTGAGGCCCTGCTTAAGAAAGTTACACATGCGCATTGATTTTAATTAAAAGCGTTTAAAGACATCACAAAAAGATACAGCAGCAGCCATAGTCAGAGCTGAGGCTGAAGCTGATGCTGTGGCAGAAGCAGAAGAAAGATGATAAATTACCGAGACAAACTGAAATTAACATTTGTGCCTGGAAACAAAAAGCCAAGCCAGCACACACAAACACACAGAGAGATACCGGCCCAGAGAGAGGGGCAGGTTTTGTCAGGGGGGAAAAGCTTGAAGAGGAGATTATTGAAAGCCGCTGTTAAATTATTGAAAATCATGCAACGATCCCGTCCGTTTTTCCCATGAACATCTCTCAGTTGGCAGTGTGAGGCAGGCTGCGGCTGGCAGCCTCATTTGTTCACTGTTCACTGTTCACTGTTCAGTGTTCACTGTGTTCGGTGTTCGGTGTGCTGCTCGTCGGCATAATCAGCATAACAAAAGGAATTAAGCAATAAAATATTAATGAAAATACACTCACACATGGAGCGATGGGCAATGGGAATGGGAGAGAGAGAAGATCGCCGCGTCATTGACTAATTTGTTTGTGGTTCTCGGGCTTCTTTCTACCATTTGCCGGGACCGAGCGTCCACATCTCCCCAGAAGAGAAGAAGGCGCCAGGGCGTCGCTGAATAGCCCAGTGAGTGAGTGAGTGAGTGAGTGAGTGAGGGAGAGAGAAAGAGCTGGAGGGAGAACAGTGGACGGGGAGTGGCCAGCGGTAGCCCTGACAGGGCTCGAACAAAAGCAGCAGGCGCACCATAGATACAACGCTGAAAGAAATACCTTTAAGCAAATTAATGTAAAGGAAAATGTACTGAAAGATACTCCAGGGAATGTCCAGGCAGAAGAGGGAAGGATATTTTTTAAGGATCTTTAAGATAAGATACCTTTAATGTAGATACTTCGATGTATCTTTTAGTACAACTATCTTTTGGTTGCCTTTTATTTCTCTCAGTGCAGCTCTTACCTCCTTCTGCTGCTCGACATATTTACTTAATATGATTTGGCTTAATGAATGCGCCTTGCCTTTGTGCCCCCCGCCCCCAACTCTTCTTCCTCTCCTTCACCATCTCAATGCAGACAGAGAGCATTTTTCACCTTTGACAAAAGGCTGAGCCCAAAACGCAATTAACTTGCGTCATTTGGAAAATTAGTTGCCATGATGCTGCAAAAAAAATAAGAGTCCATCGAGTGAGTGAGAAAAAGAGCAGCACGAGAGAGAGAAAGAGAGAGAGAAAGAGAGAGAGAGAGAGCGGCGCAAGGTCGCTGCTGGCTGGCTTCAAAAGCGCCGCTTGAAAAAGCATTTTTCAATTTGGTTTTTCCTATTCTTTCCTTTTTGTTGTATTTGTATTTCAATTACAAAGACCACGCACCAAAAATACGTGTAGTGCAGTGTAACTGACTTGCAGTTTTCGACACATAACAAATAAAAACGGAATTTAATAGGCCGTCTGTCGGTCAGAACGTCAGTCAGTATGTCAGTCAACGCATTGCCTGTCACACGGTGCGTATACGCACCGCACTTGGGTCGCTTGAGGCCTATTTGGGGGGATAATTTGCATGCGAAAATAATGCGAAACCAGCAGCAGACCCTGACCAGAATTTCAAATTGAAATTGCGGTCACCAAATCAATAAATGAACTAAATAATTGATTGGAAAATTGGAAATAGAACTGCCATTGGGGCTTGGAACTGAAAGGAATATTGAGGGATTAGGAAGAGAAATGAAAGTCTTTAAGTAAAGAAAGTACTGACATTCAGTTGATAGATGTAAATAAATGGCAAAACCTTCTCAAAATTATCCACATGGATAATGGATGAAATGTTGGCCCTTCTTTGGCTACCATGAGGCTGCCTTGTCTGCTCCCTAATTGAGATTGCAACACGTGTTGGCTGCCATTCAAGTGGCCTCCCCATTGGCAGGCACATTGAAAGGTATTGTAATAAACAATTTAAATGCCAAATAGAATTTATGCAAATTAATCGCTCTTTTAAAATGAGAATGTTGCAAAAATGCAAATACTAATTGAAAATTGTAGCCGTATGTAAAAACATATGTGCGCAGGCCTGGTACTGGTACTGGTACTGGTACTGGTATGAAAATTTCCCTTCTTTCGCTGGCATTTCATACGGTCTGCTAATGAATATGAATTGGAATTTGAATACTGATTGACTGGAGTCCAGCGAGTGGAATGAGTTGAGGAATGGAATGGAATGGAGTGGACTGCCTGAGTGAGTGAGTGACTGACAGAATGACTGACTACCGGCCAAGTGCATATTAGATGGCAGGGCAATTATCTGCAACAACACCGGCCAAATGCCAACACCAACACACCGACACACCAACACACCAACAATACTCATTCATTGGTGAATGGTCTGAATGCGCTTCTAATGAGCGACGGGGGACGGGAGCAGCCGAGCAACGTGTGCGCTTTACACCTTACACTTTGAACATTTTCAAAGTATCTGTGTATCTGTGTATCTCTCCAGCGTGTGTGCGAGTGATGTGAATGTGAATGGGGGTACCCTTAAGCCTCGCTCTTCGACAGCACCCTCTGCTCGTTCTATTATTCACGACTAATTTGAACTGACATCGAATACGCTGCAGGTGACAACCGCTGACAATCGGTAGGAGCCGCCGTGTGAGGGTGCCAGAAGAGTGATAAGTCACGCCCCCCCAGGTAACCCAACATACATAGACCGTATCTCGGGGAAAAGTGTATCTAAGTGGTACAAAATGTAGCCCAGAATGGAAGTATTCATGGGAGTTCTAGGAAGTAGTACAATTTAAAGATCAAA